GATGAACGGTGTTACCATGGTTATTAAAAATAGAATTTTCTGTAAAATTCCTTTAAAACGCTACTCCTTCTTTAGTTTTAGTTTGATTTTTAAAATAAGTTGGCACACAAGTAGACTACACAAAGATACATAAAATAGGGGATGGTTTTTGATAAGTACAAACCAGTAGAGCTACAGTCTCGACAGAGACTTCTGGTTTCCTATCTTTGCTAAACCAGTGGTGATTCTGATATGCTCTATTCCTTACAAACTCTTGTAATTTAGAGCTCCAGAAACACAAGTTAAATGAGATTTTTTCTCCTCATGTTTTTTTGTACAAAAATGTTAAGTTTAACATCTAAAGAAAAAAGTCTGTAAATGCCTGCTATTGGTTCTCTCTAGTTTCTGTCCACTTTCATTTTAATGCAAACATCAGTGATCTATTTGACAAAATCCGACTAACATTCTGTGATCTATTTGACAAAATCCGACTAACATTCTGTGATCTATTTGACGAATTCCGACTAACATTCTGTGATCTATTTGACAAATTCCGACTAACATTCTGTGATCTATTTGACGAATTCCGACTAACATTCTGTGATCTATTTGACGAATTCTGACTAACATTCTGTGATAAAGGTATTTTCCCAATCTTTGATCATACCTTTAGGGCTGCCTAAAAATCAAGTCTATACTTTCTGACATTTTCTTAAAATATATCAAAAAAGAAAATCCATGTCAATGTATTGTTGTTGATTGGTTTTTGTGCATGGTTGTATTTACTTCTGTTTTGATATGGCATGTTTTCTTTTTTATGGAAGTAATTATTACAAAGTATGAAATAATTATTTAATTGAACAGATAAATTATGAATATATTTTATTGAATAGATTCTGTTTTTATTTAATTCAGATAAAATATTTTTAATGTAACCAATAACAGAGATACTTTACTTTGTTTGATGCTAAATAGGTAAACTAATTAAATATAATCTTGAAAATCAACAGCCCAGGTTTTGCGGTGAATTTTTAATAGCTGTTTTCATGACTCAAACATTTGATAATGAATCAACACTTGAATACTTCTTTTTTCTGTTAAATCTTTCAAGAACATAATTGTCTAAATGTTAATGGAAAATATTATTATTATTATTATTGTTTAAGTTTAAATTTTAAAAATTAAGTTTACTGTAACACCAATATTTGTTAATTTTTACTTAATAATTTAATTTCAATTCAAGACGCATTTTAGTAAACAACTTGAAGATTTTTCCAATTAAATATTTTAGCTGAAAATTAAATTTTGATATTGTCCCTTCAGCCTGATGAGCAGGAAGTTTATGATGATGGAGAAGCAGGGGATATATATGAAGAGGATGTAGAAGTTGGCGAACCAGAGGACGTTTATGATGACGGTGAAATTGGACAGGAAGTGTATAATGACCCCGAGGAAGATAAACCACCCCCCGTTCCTGCTGCCCCACGGGTAAGGCATAACATCATTTGCTTGAAGATATTTAAATCTTAAGGAAATAGGGCAATAAATTGATTGTAATCTTAAGTGTAGTCAGTTGGATTTGAGTACCCACTTTGCATGTTGTCATGTAGGAAATAGAGAATACGTGTAGATCACCAGATTTTTGTGACACCTAATTTTTGCCCCCAAAAGTGATTAAAAAATTTATCAACAATATTTTTATTTATTACAAAGTCTGATTATTTCTGTATTTTATCTTTAAATATAAAAAATTCAGAAGAATGACATTTTCCTTAGCAGATGTATGAAAATGAAGTTCTTGCAAATATGAAGTAAATTACAGCATTCAGCTTTGGTTTAATTTTCTATACGATAACAAGTAAAAGAGAGAATGATTATTTATGCTGCTGTTCAATCCTAGTTTTTGAATGAAAAACTATTTTAAATGTTAAAAAGGTATTCTTTCAAGGATTTTAATTTTTTTTTTTGCAATAATAGAACCGTCTTAGATATTACAATGAAGAGGTACATTACTGCAGCTTGAGAATTATCAGATCATGCACCTGATTTTTCTAGGCAAGCTATAGCTTTAAAAAAATATCATTTTTTCATCATGTTCACTTGGTTTAATAATTTAGTGTTAAACTTTCAATCTTTAATTCAGAGAATGTGTTATTTATAATAAGAAGAAATCCACCAATAGTATACAATAATTCATATTATTTTAAAGAGGGAACTTCCACCCCCACCCCCTCAGTCAACAAGACCACCCCCACGTCTCCCAGAACCTCCACAAGATGTATATGAAGTGGAGCCAGAACCGGAACCTGTACGGCCTCAGGTAATTCAGTGTGTTTTAGGTAGTTAGCCATGACTCCTTCATGACCTACGGACCAGTTAGCACCATGGTACTGGAGAGTAGAAACATTTTTAAATAGCTAGGGATAAACCTGTAAAATGTTTCAAAACTCTAAAAAAAAAAAATTCTAGTTAAAAGTTGCCCTCAAAAGGTAATTGTGAAAAAAACTGTTGTGATGGTAGTTGATATACATACATGTACAGTATAACTCAGTTATAAAGAACTATATATAAGGAAATCTTGTTTATAGGGAAGTTATATCTATTTCCCTCTCCTCATATCATATCACTTTTGTTTTGGATATCAATATGATACAGATATTTGGTTATAATAGGAATCAGAAATTTATGACCCAAGGACTTCTGTACAAGCATTTTTACTGTAAAAAAATGCTGTATTATTTTGCATGGCATGGTACAATGTAATCCTTATGCACATATTACAAGTACCGGTTTAATACTACAAATATAATGTGTAAAGTACACTTGCCTTTGTATACTTCATAATATCTTATGTCTGTTATAGCCTATTATTCTGTCTATACTTGTTTGCAATAGTCTCATGTATGTTGCAAAATTTAATACACCATGCATCTTTAATTATATGGTTTTTGATACACAAAATTGCAAATTTATATTTGCCGTTTAATGAGAATAAGGGAACCATGGCCTGTATGATTATATCTCCAGTTTTAGGGTATATGTTCACCCTTTCTAGTATTAGGGCTAAATATACATAATATATATTACAACTGTTTACATATAATGTTTGCTTACACAGTAATGTTAACTTTTACAGAAAACAACTTTAAATAAAAGAAACACCTAGAATATATGTTTAGCATTTTTTAAATATATTTTACTTTGAATCATTCAAAAATTTTCATTTATTATCTTTAAAAAAAACCCTGGTAATGCATGCTAAATAAAAAATATCTAAGACTTGAAAAATGATCAGTAGATAAGGTACATGTATGTTACATATGTCCTTTTATGCATTTTTATGAATTTTTATATGTGTTCACCATTGATAGGACAAGTTTTAATGTTGGCATGCAGGCTTTACACTCTCTATACATGGCATGCACACTCTTTGAGTGTATGTAATAGTGTAAGTTTTATGTTATTCTTTGTCTTCTATGTTCTGTACTGTCATGCATGACTGACCTATTCCAGACACCCCCTGAGGAATCAGGGGAGAGTATATATGAGATGGAGCCAGAGGTTCCTGACCAACCCTCCAAAGCACCGCCCGAGGTATAAGGGTAGAAAATTACAGACATATAGCTTGTGGTGATGGGCACTTCATTTAGCGTGGAATCATGTTTATTCATGGGGGGTCAATGTTCATGGGTCAACAAAACTTGGTTGATTTGGGGAGACATGATTTTGTGGATAACTTGTATGTTTTGATGATTCATTGAAAAAATATTTTGACAAAATAATTGTTTTGTGGGAATGTTGGTTTGTGGGAAAATGTGACTCACGAAATCCATCAACATTGGTCCCCCGAATAATAATGATCCCACAGTACTGTAAATGTAATATATAGCATGTATGATATTTAACAAATATTGATTCCACAGCAAGTTGACAAAGATTTAATTTAGCACTTTATGAACATGCGATATGTAAAAAAAAATACATCTTCATACAAGAAATTTAGCAATGTACGATTTAGTGGAAGGTGCCTTTTGAAAAAGGCACTAAAAAGAAGAAACCACGGTATACAGTGATATATACTACATTTACAGTTTAGCTTGTTGTAATGATGTGTTCATTTTGCTATTGGTAGAGTGATTTAATGATTACGTGTATTGACATCATGATAAAATATGATTGGCTTGCATATTTTTTTATTAATTTCTTTTTTTTTAGCTCTACTGGTCAGAGACCAGAAGAGCTTATGCGATAGTAATGCGTCCGTCGTCCGTCCGTCTGTCTGTCTGTCCGTCTGTAAACAATTTTTCAAAACGCTACTCCTCCTACAGTTTTGGTCTGATTTTAATATAACTTGGCACACAAGTAGACTACACAAAGATACATAAAATAGTGCATCGGATTTTTATTTCGATGACCGGTGTTGCCATGGTTACTAAAAATAGAATTTTCTGTGAAATTCCTTTAAAATGCTACTCCTCCTACAGTTTTGATCTGATTTCAATATAACTTGGCACACAAGTAGACTACACAAAGATACATAAAATAGTGCATCGGATTTTTATTTCGATGACCAGTGTTGCCATGGTTACTAAAAATAGAATTTTCTGTGAAATTCCTTTAAAATGCTACTCCTCCTACAGTTTTGATCTGATTTCAATATAACTTGGGACACAAGTAAACTAACACAAAGATACTTAAAATAGTGCATTGGTTTTTGATTTCGATGAATGGTGTTGCCATGGTTACTAAAAATAGAATTTTCTGTGAAATTCGTTTAAAATGCTTGACTCCTTCTACAATTGTGATCTGATTTCAATATAACTTGGCACACAAGTAGACTACACTAAGATACATAAAATAGTGCATCGGATTTTTATTACGATGACCGGTGTTGCCATGGTTACTAAAAATAGAATTTTCTGTGAAATTCCTTTAAAATGCTACTCCTCCTACAGTTTTGATCTGATTTCAATATAACTTGGCACACAAGTAGACTACACAAAGATACATAAAATAGTGCATCGGTTTTTGATTTCGATGAATGGTGTTGCCATGGTTACTAAAAATAGAATTTTCTGTGAAATTCCTTTAAAACGCTTCTCCTCCTACAATTTTGATCTGATTTCAATATAACTTGGCACACAAGTGGACTATCATCATATATAATTTAATGCATAGGTTTTTGATTTCGATGAACAGTGTTGCCATGGATACTAAAAATAGAATTTTCTGTGAAATTCCTTTAAAATGCTACTCCTTCTACAGTTTTGATCTGATTTCAATATGACTTGGCACACAAGTAGACTACATAAAGATACATAAAATAGTGCATCCATTTTTGATTTCAATGAATGGTATTGTCATGGTTAATAAAAAAAGAATTTTCTGTGAAATTCCTTTAAAACTCTACTCCTCCTATAATTTTGATCTGATTTCAATATAACTTGGCACACAAGTAGTCTACACTATTATACATAGAATAGTGCATCAGATTTTGATTTCGATGAACGGTGTTGCCATGGTTACTAAAAAAAGAATTTCCTGTGAAATTCCTTTAAAACGCTACTCCTCCTACAGTTTTGGTCTGATTGCAATATAACTTGGCACACAAGTAGACTACTCTAAGATATATAGAGTAGTTCATCGGTTTTTGATTTTGATAAAAGTGTTGCCATTGTTACTAAAAATAGAAATGTGTGAAATTCCTTTAAAACGCTACTCCTTCGACAGTTTTGGTCTAATAGCAATGGCTTCTTTTCTCATCCTTTGTTATAAGCACAAACCAGTAGAGCTACAGTCTCAACAGAGACTTCTGGTTTTTATTTAATTTATTACTAGATAATTATGAATAATGGTGTAGAGCTTACTAATAATGTTTATGATTGGACAAGTAATGGAATAATGGCTTAGAATGAAATTAATTAATCCCCAAATGCCATTTTTGAGTTACTGCTTTGAAATATATATTCTATAATGCTGTAAAAGCATTTTGTTTAACCACATCTAACATGTCTAACAAGTGTGATCAAATGTTGTATTTTTAAGGTATTCAAGTGTCACTCTTTCCGCTTTAATTTCTGCAGAATCATTACTCACAATATTTTACTTATTCATGGGGGACATAATTTTGTGGATTACTTGTTTAAAAAGTAGACTTAATGAGAGAATATATACAGTCAAACTTGTCTTAGCGGCCACCCGAAATCAACGGCCACTCGCGGTCAGCGGCCACTTTCAGTTCCCCCGACAATTTTTTATATATATTTTAACTGGAATAAACGGCCACCTGTGTAACGCGGCCAGCGGCCACTCAAATCCTCCCCCAACAGCCTTATTGACACTGTAATAGGCGGCCATTTCGTCACTCGTGGTTTGGGTAATTACACCCTCGATAGTCAATTTAACCTATTAAAGCAATTAAAAAAAATTCCTTTTAGATACACTGACTTTAGTTTGTGTTTATTAAAAAAAACCTGTCCTTTTAGATCAATTTGTGATTATTTTTCAAGATCGCCGATTGAAAAATTAAAAGAATTTAATTACAATTCACACTTTTGTTTAGCTAAAGAAATTCACACCTTTTAGATTTTGATTCCATGAGAAGCCCTAATTGTTACTCTTGTTAAAACAAAGTGCTTCATGTACCATGATTATCTCGTGAATTTCACTATCAAGAGACTATCGATAGGGATTAGTTACGCTCTACTGCACTTGACACCTGTGTTGTGGAATGATATTCAACTGCGTAAATACACCTCTCTGGTCAACTGGTTAATTTTATTTGAATGTGTATCTGTTACATAGAAATTCTGACAGCTTTATAAACAATAAAATTAACCAGACTTCAAAAACATTTGCAAGTAAGTTAATTACCGATTAATTAAGTGGGGGGGGGGGGTTACACTGCTGACCACTTTTTTAACATATGAAATGCATTATTTTATTTACCATTAAACTGTATGTTTGTGTATTTTTTCTTTATAAAAGGATAATTGTCAGGCACTGTATGTATTTCTTCAAGTGATAATCAAAAGAATTTATTTAATATTTCAATGAAACAAAAGCACACACTGATGAATGCAAGATTTTTAACTTAAATATACATGATATATGTAGGAACAGAAAAATGCACAAAACCTTAAACATTTCGAATTCTTTAATATTCTTTTTAAATGAGCTTGAATTATTATATGTACACATAAAAAGCTTTTTTGAAATTGACCTGTTTAATTATGATTAATTAATTTTACTGTAGTGCTTAATGTTGTTTATATATTGACCGAATGTCCTTTTCGAGGGCAAACTGGAATAAGAGGCCACCTGTCTTAAGTGGCCAGTTTCCAGATTTCCCAAAGGTGACCTCTTAAAACAAGTTTGACTGTATATTCAAAATATAAACATTTGTGGGGATGTAAATTGGTGGATCAGTTTGACCCACAAAATTCACCAACATTTATCCCCCATGAACATTGATGATTCCACAGTTAGATGTTTCTATACATATTCAAGAAATGTGGAATTTTTCAAAGTGGGATAAATTCCTTTAAAGAAATAAAATCTTAAAATAAGAAAAAAAATTGTTTTAATAGTCAACATCCCAATACATAATTTTTTTTGTACATATACTTTTTAAAACTGAGCGAATATGAATGCATCCTACTTTGAAATTTTTTTTTTACAATTGTTCATGAAATTTGCTTGAAAAATCTTATTGCATAACAGATATTATGAATGGGTTCTTGCATGTCATTTCTTTTGCTTCGAAATATATTCATTGTTAGCATTTACTAATTGGCAGTTATATCTTGTAATCAGACCCCAGGGCCCTAATGTTTGACTTGCTCACTTTTGATCTCAGTCTCGCTTATTCATTATTAATTCCTTTAATGAAAGTGAGACTTCAGCTGAGATACAAAGTGAGTTAATGATCTAAGTTTTATGACCAGAACAGCACTTTTTTATTTGGAAATAGCTCATTTCTTTTAAAATGCTACTCATTAGGTTTTCACAATTTTTGAAAACACCTGTCATTTTATTATTTTGTATAAAACACATAAAATAGACTTTATCGTAATTCTTGACATAAGTATAAAGTGATTAAAATGAGAGACACTATAGTTGAAGAGCATTTTAAAGATGTGTTTTACATAACACCAGCATTTCCCCCCTAACATTTGCTAATTTAATCTTTTATATATAGGCTTTTTAACTCTGATGCAATTTATGCTAGCTGTCTTATTAACTGGAAAAAAAACAAACTAACAGGCTTTGAATGGTATTTATAAATTCTTCCACAATTCTTAGTTGATGATAGATCTCTATTGATTTTCAGTTGCCAGGGCGACCCCCAGTACCCACCCCTCCGCAGGAAACATATGAAATTCAAGACGATGATGAGGTATATCATTTTTAATTATTAAAATTTAATTAAGATTTTAAAAATATGAGAAATAACGTATCGAATATCATATTACAGTATTTTTTTTCTATAATCACAAAAGATTACTTTAGGATATCCCTTTCTCTCCACCCTACAAAGAAATCAAATTCCCGAAAAAACATGCATCCACTAGGAAAAAATAATGCAGGATAGCCAAAGTTATCATTCATGGCATAAAAGTCAATGAAACATATGTGCAAAGACTAAATTCAATCCCAAGCATGGAGGATTCTGAAGCGAACCTTTCCCAGTGTTATTAGCTCACCTGAGCCGAAGGCTCAAGTGAGCTTTTCTGATCAAAATTTGTCCGTTGTCTGTCGTAGTTGTCGTCGTCGTCGTTGTTGTCGTCGTAAACTTTTCACATTTTCATCTTCTTCTCAAGAACCACTGGGCCAATTTCAACCAAACTTGGCACAAAGTATCCTTGGGTGAAGGGGATTCAAGTTTGTTCAAATGAAGGGCCACGCCCTTTTCCAAGGGGAGATAATCATGAATTTGTTAAAAATTAATGGCATTTTTAAAAAATCTTCTTCTCCAGAACCACTGGGCCAGGAAAGATGAAACTCATGTGGAATCATCCTCAGGTAGTGTAGATTCAAGTTTGTTCAAATCATGACCCCCGGGGCAAGGGTGGGGCCAAAATGGCCGACCCAAGTTTTACATAGGAATATATAGGAAAAATCTTTAAAAATCTTCTTCTCCAGAACCACTGGGCCAGGAAAGATGAAACTCATGTGGAATCATCCTCAGGTAGTGTAGATTCAAGTTTTACATAGGAATATAAAGGAAAAATCTTTAAAAATCTTCTTCTCCAGAACCACTGGGCCAGGAAAGATGAAACTCATGTGGAATCATCCTCAGGTAGTGTAGATTCAAGTTTGTTCAAATCATGACCCCCGGGGCAAGGGTGGGGCCAAAATGGCCGACCCAAGTTTTACATAGGAATATATAGGAAAAATCTTTAAAAATCTTCTTCTCCAGAACCACTGGGCCAGGAAAGATGAAACTCATGTGGAATCATCCTCAGGTAGTGTAGATTCAAGTTTGTTCAAATCATGACCCCCGGGGCAAGGGGTGGGGCCAAAATGGCCGACCCTAGTTTTACATAGGAATATATAGGAACAATCTTTAAAAATCTTCTTCTCCAGAACCACTGGGCCAGGAAAGATGAAACTCATGTGGAATCATCCTCAGGTAGTGTAGATTCAAGTTTGTTCAAATCATGACCCCCGGGGCAAGGATGGGGTCAAAATGGCCGACCCTAGTTTTACATAGGAATATATAAGAAAAATCTTTAAAAATCTTCTTCTCAAGAACCACTAGGACAGGAAAGGTGAAACTCATGTGGAATCATCCTCAGGTAGTGTAGATTCAAGTTTGTTCAAATCATGACCCCCGGGGCAAGGGTGGGGCCAAAATGGCCGACCCAAGTTTTACATAGGAATATATAGGAACAATCTTTAAAAATCTTCTTCTCCAGAACCACTGGGCCAGGAAAGATGAAACTCATGTGGAATCATCCTCAGGTAGTGTAGATTCAAGTTTGTTCAAATCATGACCCTTGGCCCTGGGGAAAGGGTGGGGCCAAAATGGCCGACCCAAGTTTTACATAGGGATATATAGGGAAACATTTTAAAATCTTCTTTTCAAGTACTTCAAAGCTATGATTAGTGATACTAATATGGAATCATCCTCAGGTAGTGTAGATTCTAGTTTGTACAAATGATGAACGCCTGGAAGGGGGGGTAAATTCAAGCCCGATGTGCTCAGGTGAGCGCTGTGGCCCCTGGGCCTCTTGTAGTTAGCATTGTATCCAGCTATATGATACAATTTTGTGTAGAATGGAATTTTTAGCTCTACTGGTCAGAGACCAGAAGAGCTTATGCGATAGTAAGGTGTCCGTCGTCCGTCTGTCTGTCTAGCTGTCTGTCTGTCCGTCTGTTTGTAAACAATTTTTTAAAATGCTACTCCTCCTACAGTTTTTGTCTGATTTTAATATCACTTGGCACACAAGTAGACTACACCAAGATACATAGAATAGTGCATTGGTTTTTGATTTCGATGAACAGTGTTGCCATGGTTACTAAAAAAGAAATTTCTATGAAATTCCTTTAAAACGCTACTCCTTCTACAGTTTTTGTCTGATTTCAATATAACTTGGCACACAAGTAGACTACACTAAGATACATAGAATAGTGCATCGGTTTTTGATTTCGATGAACGTTGTTGCCGTGGTTACTAAAAATAGAAATTTCTGTGGAATTCCTTTAAAACGCTACTCCTTCTACAGTTTTTGTCTGATTTTAATATAACTTGGCACACAAGTAGACTACACTAATATACATAGAATACTGCATAGTTTTTTGATTTCGATGAACGGTGTTGCCATGGCTACTAAAAATAGAATTTTCTGTGAAATTCTTTTAAAACAATACTCCTCGTACAGTTTTGATCTGATTTCAATATAACTTGGCACACAAGTAGACTACACTAAGATACATAGAATAGTGCATCGGTTTTTGATTTCAATGAACAGTGTTGCCATGGCTACTAAAAATAGAAATTTCTGTGAAATTCCTTTAAAACGCTACTCCTTCTACAGTTTTTGTCTGATTTCAATATAACTTGGCACACAAGTAGACTACACTAAGATACATAGAATAGTGCATCGGTTTTTGATTTCGATGAACGGTGTTGCCGTGGTTTCTAAAAATAGAAATTTCTGTGAAATTCCTTTAAAACGCTACTCCTTCTACAGTTTTTGTCTGAATTCAGTATAACTCTGCACACAAGTAGACTACACTAAGATACATAGAATAGTGCATCGGTTTTTGATTTCGATGAACAGTGTTGCCATGGTTACTAAAAATATTATTTTCTGTGAAATTCCTTTAATTTTGGTCTGATTTCAATATAACTTGGCACACAAGTAGACTACACTAAGATACATAAAATAATGCATCCGTTTTTGATTTCAATGAACAGTGTTGCCATGGTTACTAAAAATAGAAATCTCTGTGAAATTCCTTTAAAACGCTACTCCTTCTACAGTTTTGGTCTGATGGCAATGGCTTCTTTTCACATCCTTTGTTTTATGTACAAACCAGTAGAGCTACAGTCTTGACAGAGACTTCTGGTTTAAAATTAATCTCACATTTAAGGGACAATTATAATAATAACTGAGATTTTAACAAGATGTTTCAAGAGATAATGACTATAATGCTGCAGAAATATGAACTTGTAAAATGTTTGATCTTTATTATTACTTTTTTTAGCAAGAAAATTATGATGAATTTTCCATGGCAGAAGAGGAAATTCCACAGGTTGGTGTGTTTTGATAGACAATAAATATCACAAAGAAGGAAAAACTCTCAGTTTTGTTTGGCTTTTTTCTCATTTTTACATATACATATGTACATAGTACAGTCAAAGTTTCTTATCTCGAACTCAGTGAGATCATGAAAAAACAGAAGATATTTAAGTATTTAAAACTGAAAGAATAATGGTAAAATACTTATAAAGAATAATGGTAAAATATTTGTAAAGAATAAGTGTTTGGGACTTGTAAATCACTTCGAGATATCAGTGTTCAAAATACTGAACATGTTGAGGTTAGAATGTAACAAGATTTTGTGTAATACTTATTTTTTATAGTAGGCAATAAGATACTGATTTACAAAGTCACTTAACAATGCATGCAAAAATTAGAGGATATA